ATAGGGACTGGGAGTGGCTGGCTCACTACAAAAGCAACTTTCCCTCTCTTGGTATTGACACCTCCTCATCAATTATTGGGAGTGGACCACATCCACCCTGATTGAATTGGCCCTGTCAACCCTGGTTCTCCAATTGTAAGGTAACTCCCTTCTCTTTGTGTGTCAGTATAATAATGCCTGCATCTGTAATTTTCACTTCATGCATCTGAAGAAGTGGGTTTTTTACCCATGAACGCTTATGCCCAAATAAATTTGTTAGTCTTTAAGTTGCCACCAGACTCCTCTTTGTTTTTGTGGATACAGACTAACACGGCTACCCCTCTGATACAGGATGATAATTACCACTTTCCCTGCATATGTCTGTGGTGATATTAAATTCTTTATGGGCATGGAGTTCTCTTTTGTTAGAAATCATTATGGAGGTGTGGCACAAAGATTAAATGATTTGCATTGGAGGCATTTTGGTTGAGTGTTTTAGGCATATGACATTGGGTCTATCAAGACACCTGGTTCCTGATTCCAGTTAGCTGCATAACTGGACAGACCAGATAACTTCTCTGAGCATCACGCAGTGGAGTAGTAATGCTACTAAGCATCAAACTGTTGCTACAGAGAGTAATATTAGCTAGAAAGTTAATCTGTTTCTGTTAGCAAATCATAAGACCATAAGAACAGAAGAACAGCCATACTGGGTCAGACCAAAGGTCCATCTAGCCCAGTATTCTGTCTTCCCACAGTGGCCAATGCCAGGTGCCCCTGAAGGAATGAACAGAATAGGTAATGATCAAGTGATCCATCCCCTGTCGTCCATTCCCAGCTTCTGGCAAACAGAGGCTATGGACACCATCCCTGCCCCAGGTGCCCTGCCCCAAATCATTTGTGAGCCAAGCCAACGTTGTATTTATTGTTCTTACTCGTCCACCCAATGATCTTGCCAGATGATTCAAAAACGGTTCACTTCAATTATTTGTTATTTTTCTGTCTGATTGTCCATCAAAGTCACATGCTATTGCTTTTGCTCCCTGATTTGATGACAGAAACCCTTCAAAGAGGCAGTATGAATTTTGTATTAAAACTCTCAAAATTTTTGGGATTCATGGGTATTTGCCTGAATAGGGGGTAGTCATCTGAATAATCAATCATGTGACCCCATGAAACATAACCAACCAAAACTGGCACTTTTATTCACAAAAACATTTTCGAATCAGAATTTGTAGACGTTAGACGGGCTCTAAAGCTACCTTTAAACAGTGTTTTCAAAGTGCTGTGTATGTGTAATGCAAAGTGGATGAAGTGGAACTAGAATTCAGGAGCCATGGCTCCTAATCCTGTGCATAATCCAGTAGACCCTTGTGGCTTTTGGTTTATCCTGCTCTCATAGGTTTCTCAAAATTCACAAGTTACCTTTCACATTTTTGCTTGCTTCATGGAAAATGATTTCTCAAATACCCTGACATTTCACAGTGATCAATTTCTTTATTTTCTTTGGGGGAGGGCACTAAATCACACGAAGCAAAGCCTTTACCATGAATTTTTGCATTTATTTGACAATGTCACCAAAAGGCAGCATTAAGCTTGATGCTCTGCCCAAATTCTGACTCGAATAATGCAATTCTGCCTACCTACAGTCCCCTCTCTGGTCTCATTGTGGAAAGTTATTCTTCATTCCCCCAGAATGGGATGGGGGGGGGGGGGGCATGGTTGCTGCCACACTCTGGTTTCCAAGTATAGGGTGAGAGGATTTCTATACCTGTAAAGTGATTTGAGATCCTTCTTGATGAAGGCTATAGAAGGCATATAAGATATATATTCTGCTACTTAGATTGTAAACTCTTTGGGGCAGGGGCAGTCTTTTTGTTTGGTGTTTGTACAGCACCTAGCACAATGGGGTTCTCATCCATGATCATGACAATACAAATAATAATACTAGAAGTAGTGCAGGAAGGTGTTCAACAATGTAAAGACCAGTCTGAGCTGGCAGAGTGCAAGATAGCTTCCTCCGAAAAAAACAAACCACCGGTCAGCCCTTGGGGTAATAAGCGAAGTGTTTCCATAAACCAGCAATAAATAGGGTAAATTTCTAGCACGCCATGTCGCAGTGTAGCTCAGCAACTCCCTTAATCATTAATAGGAGTCAGTGAGTCAGCGAAGCCTCTGCATTCGCAGGTGAAACGCTAGCCCGTGGGTCACAGATGCTGGTGCAACTGCAGGAGGCAACAGTAGCCAAAAAACCACCAGCGTGTGTAAAAGCTTTACGTTGAGGGTTTTTAAAATTTTTTTTATAGCGCACGTATTTAAAGTAGCCATTTACAGTTTTACATGAAACATAAATCATGGGGTGTGGGGGAGGGGAAATAAATGCATTGGCTGTAATATAGGGATGTTTTGTGGCTTCTAAATTTCTTAAGTGTTAGGTCATTTTACTGACAAGTTAAAGAGCTGTCTGCAAGAGGCCTTGGTTGGTCATAAATTGTCCTTCCAGTAATATAAAACACACCATTTATTTACAACACATATGCTCTTCCAAGTAGATCCAACTGCTCATAAAGAACAAGAGCTTCTATGTCATCCCTACTGAGACTATTGCAATAAAGAGGCCATTGGAATGACTCTGTACTTAGTAGGAGTGCAACAAAATCCAGCAACAGTAGCTTTTATGGTCTCTTTCCTCCCCCCAAGGAAAACATTATATATTAGCTCCATTTTAAAGGATCGTGAAGGCCTTACTCCTCATACGGTCCCATTGATTTCAATACGAAGTAAGGTATCACTCAGTTAAGGGTGGTAGAATTTGGCCCAAAGAGATACTTTATTTTAGTTCAGAAGGAAACTGATTAAAAAGAGGAATTCTTAAATATGAAAGGAAGCGTTCACATTTATTTTAATATTGACTCTAAAGCTCCTGATTCAGCTATGCCCAAGGCCACGGTTAATTAATGGATTTTCGTTGTTGGGAAAGGATTATCACAATTTCTGTGTTTACAGTTCTGCACAAGGAGCCTTTTGAGAAACACAAACACCCACTGTGCTGTACATTCCAGGATGTGCAAGCAATAAAAAAAGTGCAAGTGGTTACAATTCATAAGAGGGAGCCTTGGGAAGTGCAAGCCCTAGAGGAGAGAAACGTAGAGTTTATAATATAAGCAGAGATGGGTTCCCATCAAATTCTGCATCTGAATGCCCCTGATTTGGAGGCAACTTTATATCTGGATTCGGATCCCATTTTAGAATCTTGACTCCATTTCTAGCTGTAACTAAGTAAGAACTTAGACCCTGACTCAGAAGCCACTGAAGTCAACAGAAAAAACTCTGATTGACTTCAGGGGACAATGGATCAGGCCCTAATTCAGAGACGGAGGAAAAATAAGTCTGAATAATTTATCTCCAATAATAACAAAAGACATTCCTTCGTGATTTTTGTAATTCTTGAGTCACACAGAATATTGTGATATCTACCCGATGGATTTTGAGGCTAGCAGGATAATAATGGGCTAGTCTACCTTTTTGCCTTAAGGTGATTGGTTCAAATCCCACAAAATGTTCACAACAAAACATCAAAAGGCTTGATGTCGTTTTTGTTTGCATTTCACCCATGTTTACTAAGGGCCAAGGGTAAATGTAAAGACTTATCAAGGCTTTGGAGCAGATCCTAGTCCATGGCCATTTTCATCTCTTAGTACTGAGAATAACACAATGCCTTGGCACAGGGACTGCACAGAGAGGGAGGCTATACTGCTGTGTAGTTTCTTCTTACACCTCTGCTTTGGATTGAAAGGATATTGCAGTATTTGTGCTTGCTTAGGGTCAGACCCTGCTGCTGTTGAAATGAATGGGAGTTTTGCCATTGATTCCAAAGAGAGAAGGAGCAGGATTCTGTTTGGGTCTCCTTTAGGTTTCGATTGTGCCAAAATGTATGGCAGATCTGACTAGTTTGGCTTATTGCTGGTGTTATATATTTTAAAGTCTTCATTGCAACTTAAGCTGACAGTTTATAAAGAATTCCCATAAAGAGCGATACATTACTACATTTGCACCGGGACCCCTTCAAAACATTAGCTCATATTCACAATTTAAATATATTTTTGGCCAATGACAGAGAGCCAAGGCAAAAAGCAATCTCTCAAGTGGTTGATCCAACTCTCATTGAAGTCAGTCGGAATCTCTCTGTTCACTTCAATGGGAGGCACACTAGGCTTAATTTTGATCCCGACCAGTCGGTCACTGCTTGGCAAGTCACCAGCTACTGTCAAATAGGAAACAAACAGACTGGCTTCCCCTTCACTGCACCAAACAGAAAACAACTGGTATTCATTTGTAAGGCCCATCATAGCTTAGCCCTGCACTACCTTTCATCCCTTGTATGCTATTGAGCCATCAACCCCCATCTCTGCTCTGCCAACAATGCCAGCCTTAACTGCCCATTGCGTGGCAGGAGCTAACTGCCCAGGTGTGGCAGGAGCTTCCTGTAAAACCCCCAAAAGCCACTACCTTGTTCTCCTTAAAACTCACCTTTTCCGTGATGCCTACAAAAAACTCAGCAATGATTATATGCAGTGTTGTTGTAATGTGTCGGTCCCAGGCTATTAGAGACAGAAGGTGTGGGAGGTAATATATTTTATTAGAGCAACTCCTGTTGGTGAGAGAGGCAAGTTTTCGAGCTTACACAGAGCTCTTCTTGTGTCTCTCACCAACAGAAGGTGATTCAATAAAAGATATTACCTCACCCACCTTGTCTCTTAATAATGGCTAGGCAGCTGGTGTGCTGTGACTGCTGCTTATCACACTGCCCAAATGCGTCCGTTACCTAGCACACACTCCATCAATTTGTTGTATCCTTCTGTAGCCTGTACTTGGATTGTAAGCGCCTCAAGTCAGGAACCATCTTTTTATCTGTGAACAGCACCTAGCACAAGCAGGCCCTGAACCTGCATGGGCCTCTGAGTGCTACCACAATACAGTAACAACGAAACAAAATAAATTATGAAAAAAATTACTTTTTAATGTACAAAAGGCTTATATACAGGTTCAGCATGTTACCTCCATTTTTATGATGTAGAAAACAGCTAAAAATGTCCATAAGATATAAATTTGACAGAACAATTCACCTACAGTGCTTTTAGTAATGATGTCTTCTATACATACTATATACAGAGCTGGAATGGTTATAACAATGCTATTTTAGTAAATGAAGGAAGACCACCTCTGAACAATTATAGGAATCTTGACAAATTGGAGATATGGTTTCGCTTTGGGGTTTGATCTTTTCTTGTTACACGTGTTGCCTGAAGTGGGGCTCACTAACAAGCACTCTCATATGCATCCACTGAATAAATCAGCTCAACAGCCAATGGAGACACAAGGGCCTGATCAGTTGCAGCATTTGGGAGGCCCAAAGTGTGACTCCATATGCCCAGTATGGCTTAGAGTCCTAAATTGTGCCCTGCCCTCTTTCCTCAAATGCAAGGGTGAGGTAACTGCAGGTCAGTCTGTACCATGAACTCAAAAAGCCCAATCATTTTAAATTCATCTTTCTAGGTTAGGCACAAGTGCAAACAGCTGCCCTGCCTGATCTTGCTTTCCTAGCACAGCCAGGAGTCCCAGTGACATCAAAAGGGTTTTAGGATATGTGAGGAAGGCAGGATCAAGCCCATCATGCTTTGTTTACCCAAGCTTTTTATTTAAGAATTAGGGTGGGCCAGGTTCTGCTATGTTCACTCACCCCTAACTCTCCACGCAGTGCCACTGGAATTAATAGGACAATACGTGGAGTAGGGTACTGCCCAACACTAGGAAGGCTTTTGCACTCTGGTCCGATGGTAAATGTATATTCTGTTTATGTGTGGTCTTCTGGGGTATTTGGCATCACAACTTTTGGGCAGGAATAATGACTGGCGTTCGTGCAACGGCCACAAGCCATGCTAGCATCAGTGCAGTTTGTGTGGCACTGGTGTGTGCAAAAGGAGAGCAGTGATTGTAGAAAGCCAACGTTAGCACCTTTAAAAAGCACCCAATGGGAGCTGCAGTTTGCAGGTGGAACTGAGCCACATTCAGTAAAGAGTTGGCCATCAATTGAGCAGGAAAGGACAGAGCCCTGCTGACGCGATATCATGCACATTTGGTTTAGTTTTTTAAAGTTCAGCACACAGGGTGTCTGGAATCAGGAGGGAATTTCACATGTGTACCCTTCCCCTTGACATACTTAACACTATAATACTAGGAAGAAAAGAATTGTCTTTTTGAGATGTGGTAAATTTCAGTGAGGTCTGTTTTCACTGTGTTTACCCTTTTGTCTACCAACAGTAATAAATAATACATTGAGGAGTCTTTCCACTAACTTCAGGATCAGGCCCTAAAATTGCAAAAACTGTTAGCCAGCTTATATTTTGTGGAGGATTTTCTTGTGGTTAGATTCCTCCTATTCACCCCAACAGGTAATTTTCAGAGAGGCTTTCACCCACAGCTCTGATAGCCCACTACAAATCCCAGACATTTGACTAAGGGCTTGTCTTAATGACTAATGAACATTTAGTTAGTGGCAAGTTGGGGTGTGAATCGAATCAAGCCTGCACTAGCTTGCAAGGTAGGCCCTGCTGATATGCATTAACTGTTCGTCGGTGCGCTTGGATCTAGTCCCGTTTCAAAGAGGACCAGATCAAAGTGCACGAAGAACTGTTAATGTGCATCAGCAAGATCCACATGGATAGTTAGTCTGAGGCAGGCTAGTGCGGGGTAGAGTCACACCTCAGCTTGCCGTGACCTAACTGTTTGTGTAGACAAATCGTAAGCTAGCTAAGTAATTATATGCCCCCCCATCACCCTGATGAGGAAAAATTAGAGCTGAGCTGTTGTGAAGCCCCATTAGCGATTTTCATAGATTCACAGCGTTTAAGACCAGAAGGGACCACTGTGATCATCTAGTCCAACTCCCTGTACAACACAGACCATAGGCTTCCCTGAATTAATTCCTATATAACCCCCTGATTTACACAAATTGTTTAAGGCCTCAGACGAAAGTCACTATTCTACTGAAGTCACTACTGACAGGGCATAAAGTTAAGCACATGCATAAACCTTTGCAGGATTGGGGCCTTCCTGCCATTAGAGATGCTTTCAGACGAATGGTATTTTCAGGCCTCTGCTACATTCTACCCATGATATAAACCATATTGCAAACACATCTGACAAAAGGGGGCATTAATCTTTCATGTGTCCCATCAATGTATCTTTCTGATGTTTTTCCGAAACACTGCTATGCTTTATAAATTTCTCTTGATTTTATATACACTATATTTGATTTCAGTGGAAGAGAGGCCTTGACTACTTAACACTAAAGCATAGTAAGGCACTTTTTTGAGACGCTGTTGGGAACTGATACTTTTCTACGAAGTCGCAAGGAACAAAGAACTGTTCAAAATGATACTGCTGGGAGTGGACTTTTTGGGAGATGTAACTAAATGCTTCTCTCACTGGAGCAGAATATGCAGTATGGCTTTTATTCAGCTCAAAAAGACACCCCTCCGTTTGTTTCTGGCATGCACTGAGAAATGGTCTTTTCTTTTTGCAGACATAATAAAAGAAAACCCAGGGAGGTGGCAAACATGGAGGAAAAGATTTCATTTTTAACCATTCTTATGCAATAGTCTCATTTGGTGGTGGCGTTGCTCAGACCCTTGAAAAACCAAGCCAAAAAATAATACTTGAGGTTGCACTCTTTTGGTGCTAAACTGCTTTTAGATAGTTTATACAAGTCTGTGCAGAGACATTTTTTACTTTGAATCCTTTTAATGTATTTAATACTTGTCAAAAATGCTACTCTATAGAAACGGATTATTTTTAAAAAGCACATTCATAAAACTGCTTTGTGTAAAGTCCCTGGGACAAACCATGGGGCTTTATCATTAGGACATCATGTTAAGAAATTTACTCTCTTCTGCCAGGGTGGTTAGCATGGAGCTCATGTCGCCTATCGCCATGTTGCTTATTCCAGCTGGTATGGACGGCAGTGTCAGAGAGTTCCGTGGAGTTGTAAGGCGAGAGGAGTTCTGGGAGAGATTCTGCAGAATGCTAGGGCTGAGGGTTCCTGACATCAGGCTTGAATGGTCTCCATCATCCATGATGGCATCAAAATCTATCTGAGCAGGCTCCAGACCCTGTGAGTCCACTGTGCTTGACACCTGGTTAGCTCCAGGAGAAGGCATGGCAGCTGGCTTGATATTCAAGGCACACTGCTGCTGTCCCACTCCACAGTCCACATGGTTATCAAAGTTTCCATTTTGTTCATACATGTGGATTTGACCATAATAGTACATCATATTGTTTTCCCTCGTGCTGTTTGCACATTGCTGAGCCTGGATTGACACCATATTGTTGGTTCTTTTCGGAGTGGCCTCTGCTGTTTCCTGGCCAGGGCTCATGGTATTAGTAGCGTGCGGAGTTCTCATGTAACCTAGTTGCTGAATGTTGCGTATCCCTCGATGTCTGTTTACTGGATTAGGGTCAGGTGGAGGATGAGGCTGTACCATTCCAGGAGTGTAGGTCTGGCCAGCTGAACCCATTATGCTTTGTTGGGGCTCAAAGTTTGGCTGATTTGAGGTCATTAAAGAAGGGGGCTGATAAAACACCTCCTGAGTCATGGAGAAATTCATGGGATTTGTCTGAGATGAATAGTTCTGCTGACTTTGTTCATGCATGACCTGAGTCAGTCTATTACTGTTGACCATTAAAGAGGGATCCGTTGCAACGTCCATTTGCTGAGGATGAACGTGGGATCCAGACTTCACTACCATGTTGCTACAAGAAGGAGAAAGCTGGTTTGGATCTCCACTGATTGCATTTGGGCTAAGCATTTGATGAGCCTGGTTATACCCTTGGTGCAGGCTCAGATCAGAGTTCATATTAGGTCCTGGATTTATCTGCTGCTGCTGCCTCAGCTGCATACAGTTTAGCCTTTGTCCATCCATGCTCACATTTCTTTGCATAAAATTCTGCTGTGTCACGTTCATACCGCTTTGACTCATCTGCATTTGCTGCTGGTTAAAGTTCTGATATTGACCAAAGTTCTGCTTCTGCTGGACAACAGCTAAGTTTCCTTGAGAAAACTGTTGCTTCGATTGGTTAGACATAACATCAACGGTACCTGAGCTAACCTCATTCCACTGGACGGGCATGTTGTTTTTGCTCATGTTCGAGGGAGTGCCAAAGCTCATGTGGCACTCTGCCATCCCTGGACCCAAATGGTTCATGCTTGCATCAGTTCCAGCCATCCTGCGCTGGCTAAACAAGTTCGGATGTTGCAGTTTCCCACTGCCTTGGAAGTTTTGCATTTCATTACTGTACCCCATGGAAGCATTTTCTACAGCTGCCCCATTGTTCTGAGATTTGATATATTGCACTACATCATCTGGCAACATAATGTCATCTTCTCCAATGGGGCCCTCTGTCTCACCTGACATTGCTTCCATGGCAATATTCTCACTAATGCTCAGAGGTCGAGGTGAATAGACGTGCCTGGGAAGGCTGCCATCAGAGCGTGTGTAATTTGAAAGGCTGCAGTTCCTTCTGTCCGCAGGATGTGGTGGGTGGAGGGGATTCATGCTGTTGGTGCTGTTGAAGCGATGGACTCTCGGGAGGGACAGTGGGTCTGCGGCGGGTCTCCTCACAGGATCGCTTGCGCGTCTTGTGTTGTTACCTGACGCGTCATGGGGAAAGGACAGGGCTGCTGCGTACCCATGCGTGCTGCCATCGCTGCAGCGTCTTGGCCCAGGAGGGAGGCGAAATGAAGGCAATGCAGGATCTGGCCCATCGAGAAGAGAGATCTTGGTCTTCAGACTCATTCTTTCCAAGTTAGGTAAAGGTGTGGGAGGAGGGCCCCCTGTGGCAGCAGCATACTTGGCTTTCAGCCTGTAGTGCTGAGCTGGCGTGAGGTTGAGAAGGCCAGGTATGCCGCTACACTGGCTGGCTTCGCTTGATCTGCGTGACGCGTCCGTAGAAATCGGGTCGTAGGAGTCGGCAGAGCTCGTGTTGTTGGGACGATTCCCAAACTGCGAAGCTTCGCTGGAACGGCGACTAGAGAAATAAGGGGAAATCCCTGATGATCTGCGACTTACAGTGTAGGCTGAGCTGATGGTGCTTGTTGTACTGTCACGGCGTTCATTGAGCTGATTCAGCATCGTAATCTCATTTACAGACAGCTCCGTTATTCTAGGATTAGGCAGTGTAGCCGAGGAACCACCAATATTTTCTAGGATAGAGCCTGGAAGAAGGTTGGGGGGGAAGAAAAATGGCTTTGTTAGCTGAGAGGGCTATTTTGGGGTAAATAGCTACACTACATTCACTGTTGTGCTTGAGGTCTAAATACAGATCTGTGTGTGTTACCCACCAGCAAATGTTTGCTTAAGAAGAGTGATGTAAACGTGACTAACTGGTAATGGAGTCAGCACATTGTCTGCAGCTCTGGGGAGGAGGGACAGCTCAGTGGTTTGAGCACTGGCCTGCTGAACCCAGGGTTGTGAGTTCAATCCTTGAGGGGGCCATTTAGGGATCTGGGGCAAAAATTGGGGATGGGTCCTGCTTCAAGCAGGGGGTTGGACTAGATGACCTCCTGAGGTCCCTTCCAACCCTGATATTCTGTGACTCTATGCTCCGATGAGAAAACGGACAGTACAGGGCAGGGAAAGAGGACAGTGAGATGTACTCAGGAAATTCACTGAGTCGCTGCTACAGAGTCTTTCCCAGTGTTTGCTTCATTGCCACTGCAACCGATGAGGAGAACGTTCCTATGGGCTTCTTTTTATAAGGCAGAATGAAAACACTACAGGCACAACATGTGGTTTCCAAGCCTGGGCGTATGATCAGTCACTCAAACAGGTTTCAAAAATTCACAGGCAGAGGTCTGATTGCTCAGTACTAGAAATTTATGCACCCTTCTGAGATCTTTTCCAGAGCAATTCAAGAAGCTCCTATTCAGTAAACTCTAAGGGCAGATCATCTGCCCAGTGACTTTTCCTTTGATAAGCTGGAGAGGCACAAAATGATCATAAATTTGTCCTAGTCAGGAATCTCTAGCTGGCATAGAAGTTAAAACTAGCATAGGTGGCTCTATGCCACCATCACCAAGCTCCCGACCTGATATGGGGGCAGGCCAAAGTCATGGGCAGGGATGGGGGCATGGCTGGATTGCTGTTCTGCTCTAGCAGTCCTTACATGGCAAAACAGCCCATAGGGGATTGTTACTGCTAGCACAGGGCTGCTCTGATTTCCACCACTGGGGTAAGGTGGGGGCGGGTGCAAACTGGCCTTGGGCAACTCTGGGAATCCCACCCAAAATTATTCAGCTGAGTTCACACCTGCATTGTCCTTTTATGAGACAGCTCATCTTTATTCTGCGAGGAGTGATGTTTATAGGCAGGGAAATGATTCTGCTCTAGGGCAGACCCTTTGCTGTGAGACATGGGACATGGCCTGAGGGAGCCTAACAGCGGGAAGAACATAGGACCATGGCTTACCATTTCCTGGTATGGGAGGCAGCTTGGTGTTTCTGACTTGTGGAGCTGGGCTCACCCATGAGCAGGAATCCTTAACCGTCTTGAGTTTCTCCTTCTTGAGCTGTTCAAGTCGCTGCATCGTTGTCATGTGTTTCCTTAGCTGAAGGCTGACTGTTGAATTGCCCGATGAGACTGTCGAGTCCACAACAGGAGCGTTGTCATCCAGTGCGGTCAGGTCTCCCAGGCTTCCCCCACTGTGCATGTTCATTTCTACTCCACTGTCATTGTTGTTGGTGCTACCAAGTGGTGATGGTTCACTGCTGCATGATGACTGGCCACCAGGACTGGACTGACACATCTTGGAAAGGAGAAATAATAGAAGATCTGAGTTCTGCAGTTGAAAACGCAGCTTTGGAACACGCACGCACGCGGGCCTGGAGACTGAAGTCTCCTATTTATCAATACATTTGGTACAGGGAACAGGTGGTCACCACCTTCCCCATACACAGACATGCTGCCCATTGCCATGTCTCAGCTCTGTTCTGCAGCCATGGAGCACTTTCTAGGTGGGAGTGTATAGTTTAGTTTCCATATCCAGTCTTTGCTGCTGACAAGGCCAGTATGCTAATTAATGCCAACTGGTATTATAGTTTCATGCTGTGGGAAGGTTTATTTAAAAACAGCAATACTTTAACAAATCTGGATGGACTTGTTTTTTAAATTCACAAGCATTTGCATAAAACCCCACAGGTTAAAAATCTTTGGTGTGTTTCATTTTGCCCATAGAGACAGACCAAACATTGCTGCTGCAGTAGATAAAGGGTTGATGCTTCATGAAGATAAGCTAGTGCATTAGCAGATTATGCAAGGTACAGCTGCAATGAGCACCAGTTTATCTAACATAGGATCAAGTCCTAAGTGTTTCAGGCACAGCATATTTCTGTCTTTTAAATACCTTAACATGTAATTAGTTTAGCTGACAATCTTTCTAGACGGATAAAAACATGGCTTGCTATTTGCAAGCTCCCACTTACAGATTGGGTAGATAAGTACCATAAAGGTTTGTTTTACTTGCATTAGAAATGACATTTCACACTGAGCAACTTATATTCAACAAACATTGAATGGTCTGAACTTGCTTGGTCACAGCACTCTTCATTGTTAGGTAAGATGCCAGGTTCTCAATTCCTGGTCGTGAACTCCTGCTCCAGAGATTGTCAAAACCTGGGAATGCTGCAGAGGCAACATACTTAGCCCCAGGACCAGGTGGGAGTGTTGGGAGAGCGAGTGCCTTATTTTGATCAAAACCAGCCCTAAGGAGCAGGGCTGCCTGGCTTTAAAGGGTCCAGATACCTTTCATCAGAAGGACAGAGGTTACATTCCAGGAGTGCAATGCTGGGGTGTAATGCTGGGAGGAATTAAGTAAAGGGAATTCTTGGGACACTGACAAAGAGATGATTGCTCCTTCCTGGCTGCCCACCTGTACCTCCTCACTCCCTTTGCATTTAAACACTACTTGGTTTGGTTAGCTGTCGGTGCACAGTACAGAATATATGACATTTTTATACAGCGATTTCAATACAAAGAATTTATTTTCTCACCTTAGTACCGACTGTCCTTAGGAAGGTACAGTAAGGAAAGGTAAGTGGGAACAAAGAATAGGTTGTTAGAATAAAAAGAACATTAACAAAAAGGAGAAGATTAGTGAAAGAGTGTAGAGGGGACTACACAATTCAGGGTAAATTAGCAGAATTATTTCTCCCCCCTTCCTCCCCCCTCCTCCACCAATTCAGAAGTCAGCACATTTAATTTAACACCTCTTAATGTACCTGGATCCAAATCCCAGTGAATTTTCACAGACCTCGGTGGATTTTGGATTAGATCGAATTTTGGGTCAGAAAGAGGAACCCCAGACACTATTACAAGTGATTTCAATCAATTAGCTCCACCACAGGGCTTCAGAGATTTGAATTGAAACAAGTAGTAAATACAGACAGATACATATGTTGTCGATAGGCACAGTGAGCTGGGTACTGCCCTCGTTACACCATGCAACCCAAGTGAAGTAAAAGGGGTTCTGTAGGTATAGCAGAAAGGAAGGATTGCCCACTGTGCCTAACACCAATGGAGCTGCCCAGAGTGTAACTATGGAAAGAACATGACCTACAGTCTGTTAGAAAAATCACCATTAGGGAAAGTAGGGGAGAAATATTTTCATAGAAAAAAACGTGTGTGTGTGTTATTCTTACACTGAGTTTTTCAATGAATACAGGATCATGTGAAGGTGAAATTGTCCATTTAGCCAATAAAAGCCATTCTGGCTGTGAAAAAGTCAATTCCTTCCTGGACTAAACTCCTATATCATCACAGTATCACCCAAGAGCATGGCATCTAGCCCTTTTATAGTGCAAAGCCATGTTGACTGGTAGAAATGAAAACATTTTGGCCTGGCTTAAAATCAAGAAACCGTATACTTTGAGTCTCAAGGCTTGTGAAATTCTCTCAACTCCAGAGAGAAACCCGGGAACTGAATGAACTCTAGCAGGTGAAAGTGACTTCAGTTCAGCCATTTATTGCCTCTTGTTTTACAAAAATTTTGCCTTTTTCGCTGCAAAGGGAAGGAGAAATGTTGAAATGTGAAAGAGTTGTGGTGCAGCAACACTCTTGATTTCCTCTAACTACTGTGTAATACACAAAAACACACAGATTTAATGAAATGACATGTGACTGGCTTGGAAAGGAAATAAGACTACTGCATGATTTAAAGTGTCTTGGGGGACAAAAGAAATTGTATTATGACAACATGTTATTGTCACATTTTCACCTTCATGGCATGGCATTAAGGCCGCATGGGCTGATGCGTTCATTCATCATCCTATCATGATGAATCAGCAATGTTACAAATATCACACCTTGGGCTCTGTGTTGCTGTGTAACAAAACACAAAATACACTGGGGACTCCTAACTGTCCTGCAGTTTTAACTTTGGGGTTGAGGGCATTGAAAACTGGGATCATCCTGCAAATTTCTGGGTGCATGGCAAATGCATGAGGAGGAAAAAGGCTGCAACTTTACATTTTTCACCTGTCTCTCTGAGAAATTACAAACCATACTCTTATCTTTTAAAGAACAGCCTCTCTTACCACAGAATTCTCAGTCTTTATTGTTTTGACTTGTAAGCAGTCCTCCATGCCTCTGGTGGTACTGTTAGCCTCGGTGCTTTCTTCTGACACCTTGCTACTCTGCTTGGCACTTGCTTCGTTGTCGCCATTTTCCTTGAGGGGAGGCGGCCTTGGGTGAACGTCGTTGCGCTGCTTCTTCGTGACATGGGCGTCGGGCCCATGCACAGTCTTGACGTGTTTCCTGAGGGAACTGGGGTCCGTGTACCTCTTTGTGCAGCCCGGGATTTTACAGACATAGGGTTTCTGTTGATATGACAAATTTTAGGTTATTTTTAAAGCAGACTGAAATTTTGTGGACATGCTTTGTAGACAAAGATAAGCCATGTCCTTACAGAACACAATGAACATGATGCTGCCAGCAAAAAATATGGAGAATCTGCCTCTTAGGGTCTTGCAACGCGTCTGTGGCAGATTTTTAAACTGTGATCCATGTTCTGCTGGTGGTCATGGAACACTTGGTTGTGGGCCACAGAGATCTGGCTCGTCGCTTGATACTGGCTTTACTTCTTGTTTTGGGCTGCAAAATTCAAAGATAGCTAAAAATTCACAAAATACTTTCCTAGTATTACTTTTCCACCTAAGCATTTGCTGCCACAGGAATGTTTCATGATTGTGGATGGGAGGGGAGGTGGTCTGAGTCATTGGAATTGCAGGGGATTGTCTACAAGACAATCTCTCCATTAAGATGGTGTCTACTCTGGGAAAAAGTTTGAGACCTCCTGATCTATGGAAATCCAGAGAAACTAAGCCAGACTGGATTCTGTCTATCTAGTCTTTTGTATATCTCCAGCACCCAGCACCCATCACTCTGAAATCTGTTATTGTGCAAAACAAACCACAGGCACGCAATGCTTTTTAAGACGATGGCATTGTATTCCTGGAATCATGAATCATTGATCGCTGCAGCAAAGCAAGTCTGAGGCCAGACTTTTGGAAACAGAAGTTAGCAAGTAGCTATCCTTTCTTTTTTAAAAAAAAAAAAACTTTGATTTATCCACTTTCCAATTCCAATGTGCATGAGCACCAAAGCTGTGAAGGCTATTGCAGCTTTTGAAGGGTTGAATTCATCACAAGCAGCACTTCAGCCTCACAATTGCTCTAAGTACTTTTTCACTGAGACATTGGAACGGATCCATCTAAATGAACAACAGGTAAATGATTTTCTAAGGTTAACCAAAAATGGCCATTTCTATTAGTTAGGTATCTATTTTCGAATTTGACAAAAAGAGCACATGTAAAACTGCTGGGGGGAGAATTAGTTAGTTAGTTAGTTAGTTAGTTAGTTTTGGGTAAAATCAAACCAACCAACAAACAAAACTAAACCAGCACAATCACATGAACAGCACTAGAGATCTATTCTTGCAACAGAATTCCTGGCTGATCTTGGGTAAGTCACTTTAACTCTCTGTGCTTCAGTTTCCCCATCTGTAAAATGGGGAGATAAGTATCTACCTCAGGGTGTTGTGGTGATTTAATGAATTAAAGTTTGTAATGCTCACTTAGATTCTTGGATGGGGCAATATAGAAGTATTATTACTGTTGTTATAATCTGCATTAGGGAAAAGGGAATAGGATGACTTACAAAGGTCCTTTAGCCCTAATGTTGGGGAGTAGATAATAGCTCTGTTTGATATTTATGAGTATCAAGAATATTGAAATGTGGTCATTACTGCCAGTGCTACCAAGAATTCCATTTAAGGGAGATGTGCTTAATCAGAATTTCCCCCCAGCAACTGAATTAAGCCTAAATGCTGCTTCCCTGGGATGCCTACAAAATATCTTAAGCATTGTTCAAATAGAGATATCTGGTGTTAGGAGCGCTCTGCTTTTGCCGGTTTAAGCCTGGCAAACAGTTCCAATATCTCCTTCCACATCCTTCACAAATACTGTAAAAGTTACATCTCTTTGGCTGGTAGAATCATCACAAGCCTCCTCAGAAACTCAGGGGCACTGGATTTCTAGAGTTCAACTGTATTTCAGCTTGAGCTGGAGAAAAATGTCTCTTTGGGTATGTCTGCACTGCAATAGGGAGATGTGATTGGAGCATGTATAGATACGCCTGAGCTAGTTTTGATCTAGCTAGGTAGCAGCTGCTCGAGTGTGTACCCAGGGTCCTGGGCAGGTGGGGTTAGCCTGTGTAAGCTGCCTGTGCTGCCGCAGCTTCGCTGCTATTTTTAGCGTGTTAGCTCGATCAGAGCTAGTGCGTGTAAGTCTACCTGAGCTGGGAATCACACCTCCCAGCTAGGGTGACCAGATGTCCCGATTTTATAGGGAGAGTCCCAATTTTTGGGGCTTTTTCTCACATAGGCACCTATTACCCCCCACTTCCTGTCCCGATTTTTGACACTTGCTACCTGGTCAGCCTACTCCCATCTATAGCCTAATAGTTGTGGACTTGCGTCACCTTGAACTTTTCAATGAGCCAGCAGGTTTGCACCACAGTGGGGTGATGGACTTACAGAACAATTTTCTGGAACAACACTAGCATCTCTTCCCTGGAAAATCCACAACAGGCCATCAGGTGCGATGTCCTGAGGGGATTCTAATGGGTTCATTGACAACACCCAGGTACATTACCTCATTTCAAATGAATGGCGGCCAAAGTAGTGATATACTGGCAGCCTGGAAACCTGATGCCATGAAAGCAGTAAGAGGCTGAACCATATTCCTAATAGTTTTGTTACAAACTGATGGGGACAAACCTGGGGAATCCGGGCCTAAGTTCTTGTGAATATTGGTGGATAAGTCCATCTTTTCTGCATGTGAAATTGTGGTCTAGCCTGAGTACACAGGATATGGGGCTAGATGGACCTTTGGTCTGACCCAGTATGGCCATTCTTATGTTCTTATGAGAGGACAAGGTAGGTGAGGGAATATTTTTTATTGGACCAACTTCTGTTGGTGAGAGAGGCAAGCTTTCGAGTCATACAGAGCTCTGTGCAAGGTTGAAAGTTTGTCTTTATCACCAACAGAGAAGTTGGCCCAGTAAAATATATTACCTCATATTACCTCAAAGATATTGTCCTAATATCCTGGGACTGACACAGCTCCAACTACACTGCGTACAAGTAGTGAGAGGACTATCAGAGACCTACTGCAGCTCCCTGGATTGCCTGGTAAGCTGGATCCATTCAAACAAAATGCATTTTAATGCAGTCAGATGCAAAAAGAAAAGGAGTACTTGTGGCACCTTAGAGACTAACCAATTTATTTGAGCATAAGCTTTCGTGAGCTACAGCTCACTTCATCGGATACATCCGATGAAGTGAGCTGTAGCTCATGAAAGCTTATGCTCAAATAAATTGGTTAGTCTCTAAGGTGCCACAAGTACTCCTTTTCTTTTTGCGAATACAGACTAACACGGCTGTTACTCTGAAACCTGTCAGATGCAAAGTTATATATCCAGGACCAAGGAATGCAGGCTATACCTACAGAAATGGGGGACTGTATCCTGGAAAGCCATGACTCTGAGAAAGATCTAGTGGTCATACCGGACAAGCAACAAAGCACAAGCTTCCACTGCAATGCTGTGGCAAAAAGGACTAAAGCAATTCTTGGATGTATGAACAGGGGAGTAGTAAGTAGGAGTTGGGAGGTGATTTTACTTCTGTACCTGGCACTGGGGAGACCAATGCTGGAATACTGCATCCCGTTTTAATGTCCATATTTCTAAAATTATGTTGAAAAATTGGAGATGGGCAAAAAAGAGCCACAAAAATTATTCAAGGTCTGGAGAAAATGCCTTACAGTGAGAGACTTAAAAAGTTCAATCCATTTAGTTTATCCAAAAGAAAAGTGAGAAGTGACTTGATTACAGCGTTTCGGTTCCTTCATGGGGAGTAAATATCAGGAACTAAAGGGCCCTTTAATGTAGTGGAGACATGCATAACACGGACCAATGGCTGGAAACTGAAGCCAACCAAATTCAAATGGATCACACATTTTTGACAGTGAGGGTAACTAACTATTGGAACAAACTACCCAGGGAACTGGGGGATTCTCCATCTCTTGCTGTATTTAGATCAAAACTGGATGTCTTTCTGGAGGATATGCTTTAGCCAACCACAAGTTACTGGGCTCATTATAGGGGTAGTGCGTGCAACTGAATGGCCTGTGATACACAGGAGGGCAGACTAGATGATATTCTGGCCTTCAAGTCTATGAATCTATAAGTCCTGAGCTGCCCAGCCCTGGTACAAATCAGATTTGCAAGGGAGCAGCTTTAACTTACCCACCAGCTTATAACTGAGAGAGGTCAGCCTAAATATTTGGATTCAGATCTGAATACCTGGAAAGACGTTTGGATCTGGGTTGCTCATCTGGGTCCTTCTCTAGTTAAAATAGCTCAGAGAAACATCCAAAACTTTGGAGTGCTTATTCCCATCTGAACCAAATCTGTGAAACCTTTTGAGGTTTGGTTATCACTGGGTAATATAGTATTGCTTTAAAATTCTGTCATCCATTGAAATCACATTATTCCATTCTCCAATGATTCATATTTAACTGTTACAAATTAGGCTACAAACTTACTCCTTCATGGTTGCAAACATTACTAGAACTCTAGAACATTGTTTTTTTACCCTTTCCATTGTCTGCTAATTAGTAGTAATATAATTGTTAATCCTCAGCCTTAGCCATTTGCGGCAGACCATCACATGCGTTACAATAAAGGCAATTTCCTGCATTGCCCAACTTCTAATAGTGGGTCTAAATTATCTAGGGTTAACAAAGAGTTGCATCACACTTTATCATTGTATATCAAAAGATACAGGTACGACTATTTCCAAAGCGTCAGGACCCAGGGTAGAAATCACACCCCGATGAGTCTATGCTGCAATCATGTTAGAAAGCAAGGTACAAAAATGTAGGACCCTGTTTGGACTATTAAAAATTATGAATTTGGAAAGCACCAGCTTTAATTTCAAAAGCCAATCAGAAAATTTGCATACTTCAGCATCTGTTTATAGTTTCTAACATGGCTTTCATAAATATAAAGCTAATGTGGTCTGGCTCTGCAGCAAAATAAATCCAAGTAAAAAAAATAAAAGTCTTTCATTATGGCAAATTCCTTTTTACACGAGTCCAGCATGTAAAGTGTATATTGTCAGCAAAAATTTTGTTAAAAATCCACAGCACTTGTGGTGAGGATGGGTTTACCTCATTGGAATGCGTCCTGTTCTGGTGCTTTGCTCTGTCTGAAGCGTTGGAAAAGGCTTTATTGCAGCCCTCATGTTCACAGACGTACGGCTTTTCTCCAGTGTGAGATCTCAGGTGTGTCTTTAAGTTCTCCAGTCGGGAATAGGCTTTGGAACAACCCTCAAACTAAAATAAAAACACAATGGGAGCAATTCATCAACCACAGTGGTGGTTTTTCCCTCCTCATCTGCTTTCCATTTCTTTTCCCTTTTTAGGAGTCTGTCTTTTACAAACTAACATCCACTTTGTTGAGAGAGCTTTTCCTTCCTGGGCAGAGCAAAACTGTCGAAAGAGGCTAGTGATTTAGGGAACCTCAAATTTTGGGTTATACCTGACAGGAATCTGATTTTCAGGCAGCGCTGAGCACCTGTTCTCTGAATATTAGGCTCCCCTTTAAGATGTTTCAGGTTGTGCATCCAAAAATTGAGGCCCCACCAAATTACTAGCTGCTTTTGAAAATCTTGACCCAAGGTGTCTCCATTTCACTAGCTCCAAAGCTTGCGAGACAAGCCAGTTTTCTAAAGGAAAAGAGTTAAAATAGCAAGCTTTGAAGTTTCCCTAATTACAGTTTGGTTCCACTTTCCTGAGGGCTCTGAGGTCAGCCTGCCTGACATTACCATCTTAAGAACCAAGATCCTCAGTCTTAATGGATTCTTGGATGGCACCACAGGCCAGGGGCCTGGAACAAAAGCAACTTCCCACACAAAGAGCCAGAGGCACTCCAGAGACATCACCAGATTTTCAATGATGTAAGTCCCACCACCATCCAGTGCTGGCTGACTCTCCTTGTTTGTACTATGGAAGGATTCAGCCAAGCAGCCAAAATGGCTGAGAGAAGATGAGATACTGCCCAGTAATATTTCCAAGTAGTAATGACACTGAACTAACAGCATACTTAAAACCACTGGATAGGATTTAAAAAAATGGGTGCCTAAAGCTAGTCTCTTAGGGTTGCATTTTCAGAAGTGCCTGACTTTGGCCTGGCTCTGCTCTCATTGAAGTCAAATGGGCCTTTTTGTCATTGGCTTCAGTGGGAGCAGTTAGGCCAGTGCTGAGTGCTTTGGAAAACCCCATACAAAAATCCTTATTCAAGTGCCTTAATATGTGATCTGAATGTCAAAAATGTCCCCAGCTCCCATTTCAATCTCTGGGGACCACAGCGGGCTCATTTTAATCAGTTCGTCTAACTCTGGAATTAGGAGGGTCACTTCAGGCTGCCATTTATGAAAGTCTTGGGAATAAAAAGAGGCCCTTGTTCTGGAAAACCAAAAGTTAAGTCATTCAGTACTGTTCAGGAGAAACGGGAACTTTTGTTGGAACCTTTTTGCCTCTCTCTCCAGTCTAGAACACTGATCAAAATGAGCATGAAGAGCCATGAATCTTGGGGTTAATCTCTTACAGAAAAGAACGGTAGTAATTCTAGTAATGGCTCCACACACCACTGTCTGCCATAGTACTTGCAACCATTCCTATACTATAGGAATACTATAGTCCAATTTAATGATGGATGCGATTGTTAAGGTTAAGATGTATAACTGTTTAGATAAAATGAAGGAACACATTTGCACAGGTAATTCTGTTCTAATTAGGGTCTCACATTGTGCCCATCACCATAGTTTCTGAGTGCTGTAGTAAGCTTCCTTTAGAAACATTTGTTTCATTCAGCATGTCATAACCAGGAGTTAACAGAATATCATTAATTTGTTCTCTCACCCTGTGCTTACAGCATGTGGCATCATAGGTCATTTACAGGTGTTGAAAAATATCACTCAACTTACTGGAAATCACTGGTAACTGAGCATACAGTAACTCATTCAGGTGGTCTAGCAATACTGGCTATTATCAGAGTAATGCAGTTCCCACTGTGGCCCAATTTTCAAATAATGGCATCTGAACAGGACAACCAAATCCTTGGGTGCTCAAACCAGATGTTCCCACAGCTAACGCTGGTCTGTGAATGTGGAATCTGGATGTCTTATACAGAAATGGGCTTTGCACTAAAACATCCCTGACCTTTGCGTTAGATCAGATCCAAACTCCACAGCCTGGGCTCACCTCTAGTCTTATTTACATCACATTCCCATGTCTCTCTTTTTGTTTAAAATAAATGGAACGTTGAGAAATCACAGCTGAACTGGCTTGGACAAGGAAAGCTTCTGCAGAGAAGGGTACTGGCCTCAGCACCATAGGCAAATAGAAACTCAGGATCTTCCCTGTACAAAAAGTGAGTTTGGGGTGCAGAGTAATGACGCCGCAATAATTTGAGTAAAACACATAGCCTGATTGAAATTCTCCAGCACGTAGGATTGACTCAGCTCCTGAGATGCTCAAATTACTTTCCAGTAGTTCCAATTCAGCACAACAACCTGGAGTTGAAATAGGCTGAAATGAGAAGGGGAGCTTCTGCTGCACCAGCTGAACAGGATGTGAGGGAGAAGGAGGAGCTCCCCTCTGCTTTTAGCATGGATTGGGGAGCTGATCCCCTGTACTTTTAGCTGCTGATCACTTCAAGGGCAGAGCTGACTCTTCCACTCATGTTCAATCCATTGCATCAAACAACGCACTGAATAATCCATGGTGTTCTTATGAAAGTTTTATAGCACAGTGTAACTGTGCTCGGTGTTTTACCAGATCAACACAGAGAGATGGCCATGTGCCCTGGAGAGCTTACACCCTAAATGAGACACACAGAGGGTCAGAAAATTGACAAAGCAGCCATATAGGAAACAAGTCATATACGGTCTGATATTTTTGAGTAGAGACTGGGCTTGGGGATGGTCCAGGAGTGGAAGAGAATAGTGGGAAGAAGGCAAAAGGAGGAGGGATCTGAAGGAATGTGAAGAGAGACTCATCCCAGGAGCAGCATGAAAGCAAAAGCATGAAGGTGAAAATTGGGAATGGGGAATAGGGCACTGGGTCATGGTGGCTGCTGAATGCTGGATAGATCAAAGAGGGAAAGTTAGGGAGGCTGACAGGAGGAGGCTACAACAGTTCAGATGAGACAGCCCTAAAGAAAAGGGAAGGCAGGGCCAAAGTTAACTGTGAGGCATGAGCCTGAGTTGTGAGGATAGTGGAGCTGCAAAGTTGATGGAGAGTGTGAAAGGGAAAAGGGTTTAACTCAATCCTTAGTTTTGTCTGCTTTGCACTGCTAGGACAACACGAAGCCAAGGAGCTGCCCTACAGGGGACATGAAGGATTGCCCAAACAGAGGGGACACGTTGGATGGGGCAAAGTTATGTAGGGGATGTGCCAGGGCCAGGAGAGAGCCTTGTACAGCACAGTGTTCAGGTACTTAATGCAGGACCAACTCTACTCCCTGATACAGGTCTGAATTACAGCAGCCCTGGAATGCAAAAAGGTTATTCTAGATCCCTTTAATTGGGCCAATGCACACTGCACATCACTCATCTGGTCTTCAGAACTTGGCCACCTAAACATTCTGGGGGCCAGAACCTTATAGGGTATCAACTTGAGTAGCTCCACAAAGGATTCACTCCACCAAGGAACTGGCCCAGCCGAGTCTTAATTTATGGGTGTAAATCACCAGATTACGTAATCTTCAGTGGGGGGAAATAGTTCGTAGTTGGAAAGCTGAATATGCAATACAAAACCCTGTGAGATAGGAAAGTATCACCCTTATTTGACATATAGGGTATTGGGGCACAGAGACGCTAAGGACCACATTTTTAAAAGGATTTACGTACCTAACTCCCACTGATTTCAAAGGGAGCTAGGTGCCTAAATACATTTAAAAATCTGCCCCTAAATGACTCGCCCAAGGTCACACAGAAAGTCTGTAACAGAGCAGGGAATTGAATCCAGGTCTCCCCAAATTCTGGGCTAGCACCATAACCACTGGACTAGCCTTCCTCTCCATTAACTTTAATGTCCCCAGGGGATAGCCTGCAAGTACTTAACGCCCATTAGTGCTGACAGATTGGATCGGAACTTGCCCAGAATGGGGAGGTGGGTTCATTCATAGAGCTTTGGTGTGACTCTCTAGTCTGGGTCCAGATATACATTCATGTGGACACGAGCCCCCCACACCATTCTAACGGTCTGCACAAAGCTGTGCCCCCATCGGCTCACCGTGCACTTGTGTGGCTTTTCTCCAGTGTGTCTTCGCATGTGCACCACCAACATGTATTGAGCCTTGAATGGCTTCTGCTCCCGAGTGCAGTCTTGCCAGCGGCAGACAAACTCCTTCTTCTCCCCGTGGATGTGATCGTTATTGATGTGCTAGCGTAAGAGAAAGAAAACCAGATCATGATTAGAACAGCTAAAGCCATCACCGCATGTGTCACTCTGAAATGCACAGAAAAAACAACAGTTCCTCTCCACAGCAGTTGTGGTCTGATGTTACCAAGATATAAATAATGCTATGGAGTCATATGGGGCTCTTGAGCTGTCTTTGGGGTTGGATGACAGGACACAGAATAGGACTGTTTAGACACAAGGGTAGGATGGTAATGCTGGCGTGTGATGGCTGTTGGCATGCAGAGACATACTGACCAATAACGTCTCATTGTTTCCTTGTACTCCTGTCTGAGCCCATCTGTTGTCTCTTGTCTTATACTTAGATTGTAAACTCTTTGGGGAGGGGGCCATCTTTTTGTTCGGTGTTTGTACAGCACCTAGCATAAAGGGCGTCTTTGACTAGGGTTCTTAGGCACCACGATAAAACAAATAAACGACAATACTGCTACTTCCTCAAGCACAGACCTGGTTTTTTACCTGTTCAAAGTGCTACTGATGCAATGGGCCAGGCCCTCAGCTTGTGTCAACTGGGGATTTGACCTATGCTCTGCAAAAGCAATGTGTATCCCTACTCTGGCCAACTGCAGAACAAACTGCACACATTATTCGTACTGGAAGCAAGGGGCTGTTGCTGTTTCAGAGGGCGGGAGAGCATTGGGAGTGTAAATGTACAACATGCAGACCACGATCCATGATCCCTGAGCTCCCACCCAGAATGCTTCTCAGTGGGGGGCCCAAACGTGACCCACCGACAGAGGAAGCAAAACATTCCTCTAGTCAGACATTACCGCAACAAAAGAGAAAGGATTCCTAAGCAATCCCCATTGCATACAATCCTATTTCTACTCAATTTAGATATGAAAAATGTCAGGGCAGCTGTGCGGCAGGGATGGGTAGCACCATTATATACTTAGTATGTAATGCCTTGAGTGCGGGGTCTGGACTAGATGACCTATTGAGGTACCTTCGAGTCCTACATTTCTGTGTTTCTAATAGCAGAGTCACTGGCCAGCACAGAGTAGGACAGTTCATGACAGACTTGGAAGAAAGGGATATGAACTGCTAGGAACTCTTTACTCCTCCTTAGAAGATAACCAGCATGTAACTTATCGCAGATTTCAGCACAGACGCCTATGGGCCTGGCCATGGCTCCCAGCCAACAAACACCCCACTAGGCCTGTGCTGAACCAGTTAGTGTGGAAGATGAGCCCTTTTTATTATTATTTATTTTACTGTAATAAGCAAAGAACTCAAACAGGAGATCAGAGCCTCACTGTGCTAGGTGCTGTACAAACACAGAGGAAGACACAGGAACAGTTTGCTGAGAGCTAGGTAATAATCCTGACATGCTGTTCATTGGGACTTGATAGAGGAGGGAGAGCAATGGCTCCTTATGCCATTTTACCCATGTGGCACAAGGCTGGAATAAGTTCTTGCACTTTAATTTACATTCATTGTCAGCATAGGCCAGTCAGATGCCTCATAGCCGCAACGGAACCAGCAACTAGCACACCTGTGATTGCAGCTGGCTGACTTGCCGTGTACCTGATCTTACACTAAAAACTCACCTGCCTATAATTCAACTAAATTAGAACTGATGAGACATATCAGATGCCAAGGCATGTGAGCTGACACCACATGTCCTATAGAGTCGAACACATGACATTTGCTAAAATGGAAAAAAAAAAAACCATGATGGCTTTGTTCCACTTCCCTGAACTGCAGGTAGTTTAGAAAATTATATTCTTTAATATACATGCTGTGATATATACAAAACCATGACATTATGTTACTCTTTAAGAAACACTGCATGTGCACAGATTTGTCCATTTCCAGTCAACTACTGCTTCCTCACTTGTGCTCAACAGTAGGAATTTCATGCTTTTTAAAAGGGATTTTGCTACCACTGGGCAAAGCCATGCAGAGAGACCATGGTTTTTTCAGTTGGTGTAGGCCAGTGTAGCTCCACTGTAATCAGCTGAGGATCTGACCCCCCTATATCCTGAATCTCAGACTAACAGCAAACAAGAGAAATTTTAAAAAAAAATCCCAAATCAAATTAAAGTCTATGAAAGAGCAAAACATAAAAGCACTGCTTAGTGTTGGACCTGAGCACCCTCTGGTTTTTGGAAGCAGTTGGTTCTTGTCTCTGGAATGGTCCAAACCAACATTCCAGCTCCAAATCCCTTTCCAAATTATGCAGCTGTGACCCCTTTTTATAGTGCTGGTAAAGGGCAAAAGAAAATATGATTCAGTGCCAGAACGGATGCCGGCTCTAAAACATCCACCTGCTGTCAAAAGCTTAACTGCTGGCAGGATATGACAACATCTGTAAAGTATGTGCTAAGGAGAACTCCATAGTCCCAATTACTGCTAATTACTCAGTTCCATAAAAACCTTCACCCCTGTGCTGAAAACACAGCAGCAAAGTGGAGCCTTGCTCTTACCTGGTGCAAGTCTAGATTCATATTTTACAAGGATAGGGAAGATCAATCTCTGAAGACGATAAAACAAATCAGAGAACAGTTCTGCAGCTGTATTGTTACATGTATAGACTAATAGACTTATTTCTCTCTGAACAGAATCTAGCTGCCAAAATCATGATCCCTCCACTCTCCCCCGCTCCTATGACTTCAATAAAATACATCAACAGGAAGTCCTAAAATAAAATACTTGGGTTTGGATTTTTTAGATTCAGCGTTTTTTCAGCCATCCCCCATCCCTCCCAAGGTCAGACATGCAGATCCTGCCTTCGCTGGCCACTGAGATCAGTGGATTTGATGGTCTGTGAGACTTAGCAGCATGGGGAAACAAATGCTCATTAAAACAGAGTAACTTGCCCGCTCAGTCACAGCAAGGTATGGCTGCCTGGGCAGGAACAGAATTTAGCAACCTTGAGAATAAACTCAGGGTTTTGTTCATGCCAATCACAGAGCACGTTAAACTATGGACTAAAAGTACAATAGACTAAAACACTGCAGCTTGCTCACATTGAAAAACTAGCATGCTGTACATGGTATATTGTAGACTAGATGGTGACTAGCCCTCTGAAGATGTAGAAGGGCCTTAACTTCACCATTGTTCCAAAATCTCAGCCTTTGTGGCACTGAGACACCATGGTGATGGACCTGGTAGAAATGCCAATGGACAGATCATGCTCAAGGGCATATTTTATAGTGGGAGGAATGGGGTGAAGATAAGCCAAAATCACAGGAGGCTGCAGCATTCAGAATTGGCTTAGGTTTACTTTAGAGCAGTGGTTCTCAACTGTGGTCCATTGCTTGTTCAGGGAAAGCCCCTGGCGCATGTCCGCAGGTTCAGCCAATTGCAACTCCCACTGGCTGCGGTTCACCGCTCCCTTGGCCCGCGCCGCTTCCCGCAGCCCCCATTGGCTTGGGACGACGAACCGCGGCATGGCAGCAGAAGGGCCAACACACTGGCAGTGTTTTATTTCCCACTGCACTGGGGACGATCAGGGTGTTTAGAGCCCCTGCGTAACATGGGATGAGTCCCCGAGCAGCAGAGTGGACATTGTGGCAGTGGCGATGGCTGGGGCTAGCCACCCAGGCCTGAACCCAGAGGATTGGGTGGGCTTGGACTCGGGTGGCTCATCTGAGCTGCCACTGCCCAAGCAGCAACACCCACAGTGCTATTTTTAGCATGCTAGCTCGAGCAGAGCTAGCCCAGTCTGTCTACCGGCACTGGCAATGACACTTCCCAGATGCAGCACAGACTTACCCACAGGGTTCAGTGACTGGGCTATGCAGGTGCTTTGTGTCCAACTGCCCGTTACAGGAGAGGAGATTCATCCCCCCCAGCAGCCATATAAGATCCCCTACACACAGACCTTTTATTGGGCTTTGCAAGGGGAACCAGAATTACACCCTCAGCAGCTGAAACATAAGACTATCAAATAATCTAATCTAAGGCTTCGCTGCAACTAAACTCTTCAAGGAACTGTGAGCTGATCTTGCAGTGTTTGTACACTGTACCTCTAATTTGCACTGTTAGTGGCTCCCACAGTGAGCTCCTGCTGTAAAGTATCCTGATCTTGTGATGAAAAGTGACGACAAATGCACAGAAATCCAAATTTATTGCTGGGGTTTCTTTCCAACATTACTCACATGGACGAGCTGCTCCTGCGTGTCATATTCCTTTATGCACCCTTCCCAGTGACAATTTGTCTCATAAATAACGTCAGGCTCCTGTTTACATTCATCCTTATCTAGATCTTCTTTCAGGTCTGTCAGATGCTCCTATAACACACAGAGTATTACATAAAGTGAACTTGTTTCATCTGAATTCCTCAGTCCCTCGTAGATTACAGGGCAGGTGTTAATTGATCATAAAGGAAAGGACAACTCATTATAACAATGTAACATTCTGGATTATCATGAAATACTGAGTTAAAAAGGGTCTTGCAGTTATGGATCTGCCCGAGGAAATCACCGCTAGTGACAGGCTAATCTTAAAATGTTTGGGGGTCTGATTTAGATAAACACCCACATCTTTGGACTCCCACCAGCTAGATCAGATATAGAGTGAGGAAAGACTACAGAGTCCATCGTATTTATACACCCACAATTACTCTAGGGTAATACTATTATCCACATTTTACAGAGGGGATACTGAGGCACAGTGGGACTAAGAGATTCACCACAGTAAGTCTCAAGGAAGAGCAAAGACTTGAACTAAGGCCTTCTGAGTCCCAGGCAAGTACCCTAAGCACTGGACCATCCTTCCTCTCTTGTGAATATTTTGTTTCTTTTGCTACCTGGCTCTAACTGGATGGAATAAGAAAATGGAAGGGGAAAATAGCCACTGAATCTTTTCAAACCATTCAAAAAGTTCGGTTGAGTCTTGTTGTATCCACACACATCTGTCCTTCCTCTACAATGATAGGTAATAATAGGTAATAATAATAATACTTAGCATTTATACAGTGGTTTGCATCCTTAGAGCACTTTACAGGCACAAACTAATTAATCCTGAAAACATTCCTAAGAGGTAGGCAAATATTAATATACCCATTGTACCAAAGGGGAAAATGAGGCAGATAGTTTAAGTAACTTGACCAAGACCATACATTGAGTCAGTGTCAGAGTAGAACTCAGGAACTTCTGTCTCCTGCTCCAACCTTAGTCCACTACCATCATATAGCCAACTGAGCCTATGGTTGGAAACCTTCCAAGTTCTAATCCTGACCTCTTGTCAAGTTGCTTAAACTGTTCTGTGCCTCAGTTTCCCCATCTGAAAATGAGGGAAATAATATTTTCCTCTCTTTCTGCAGTATTATATGGATTGAATAGTTAAAGATTGTGAAGTGATTTGAACATCTACAGCACTATGTAACAGCAAATTATTATAATTAAGATGTAATGATGATTTAACGCACAGGCCTTGTAGCAGCCATGTGTATCGCAGTCATTTCCAGCACGACACAGTCTGTTTTCACTGGAACGTGACAATCAGAAGCAACTATTTACCAGGGAACATAATGCTACAGCAGGGGTTCTCAAACTTAATTCCACCACACACCCCTTCTGACAAAAAATGACTACATGACCCCAGGTCCCCGCTCCTTCGATGAAGTGAGCTGTAGCTCACGAAAGCTTATGCTCAAATAAATTTCTTAGTCTCTAAGGTGCCACAAGTACTCCTTTTCTTTTGGTGAATACAGATGAACACGGCTGCTACTCTGAAACCTACAGTGGTAGAATTATACTTGTAAATTTCCCCATGTAGGCAAGCCCTAAAGTTGGGAGGGGAGCAGAGAGGTGAAGTGACTTGATCAAGGTCACCCAGCAACTCAGTGGCAGAGTTGGGAACAGAACTCAGCTCTTCTGATTCCTACTCTAGTGCCCTATTCACTGAACCATACTAAGGAAAAGGCATGATTTTACTGGAGACCAATGCAAACTCATTTGAAAAGGGATGATATGCTGTGACCTTACACTATTATATTAACTTCAAGCTTCTTGTCCTCATTGTTAGAACTCCTCATGACTCTGCCACTTCTCACTTATTGACCAGGATCACATTGCCTCCATCCACTGTGCTCCACCAACAAGTCCATCTTTGAACCCTTCTTTAGCCACTGTTCCCAAGCTGTTATAGCAGTTTCTTCCCCCTTATCCCTTCAGCATGGAACACCCTGCCTGAAGTTTCAGAGGAACAGCCGTGTTAGTCTGTATTCGCAAAAAAAAAAAAAGGAGTACTTGTGGCACCTTAGAGACTAACCAATTTATTTGAGCATAATAATTTATTTGAGCTCAAATAAATTGGTTAGTCTCTAAGGTGCCTGCCTGAAGTGACCATCAGGCCACCCACCTCTCCTCTTTCAAACCTTTTCTCGAGACCCACTGGAGTGTTGCGATGATTAACTAGTTCATGCTCGTACAGAGCTTGGAAGGTGAGAAGTGCTACATAAAAGCTCAAGTATTATTATTAAAGCAGCTGTCATGGTATCATATGCCAGGTGTGACTTTTATGTACATTTTTTACAACTCATGCATGGAGAGATTTGTTCTAATTAGCCCTTGATTGTTCTTTTGAAAAGGCTGCTCTGATCACAGAAAATTGCTGAAAGTTACAAAACAATTTCTGAGGAAAGGTAGAACCTTTAAAACATATATCAGAGGCCTGTACAAAATCAGAGATGGAAAAGTCTTAGGACATTCAGAGGTGCTGACTACATACAGCTCCACTAACTTCAGCTGGAGTTGTGGGTAGAGCTGGTCAGGAATTTTCTGTCTAAATGTGTTCCCCCCGCCCCCAAGTCCCCGTCAGAAATGCAGTTTCTGCCAAATGCAGTTGTTGCTGAAATTTTTTGATTTTCTATCAGGAAAACAGAAATGAAATATTTCGGTTCAGGTTGGGTCGACTCATATCAAAATATTTCAGTTTGTCCAATTGAACCTAAACATTTCATTTCAGGTCAGTCAGATATTAATCTGTGACTGACTGAATTGCCATGGCATCTTGTGCCCCCATGGACTGGGCTCCTTGACTGGACTAACAGATTTATTTGGGCATCAAGCTTTCGTGGGTAAAAAAACCCCGTAACTCCATGCATCTGAAGAAGTGGGTTTTTTACCCATGAAAGCTTATGCCCAAATAAATCTGTTAGTCTTTAAGGTGCCACCAGACTCCTCGTTGTTTTTGTGGATACAGACTAACACGGCTACCCCCTGATACTTGACTGGACTACATCTCCCACACTGCACTGCTGCTTTCCCTGTGGTTGAACCACTGTAGGACATTATGGGAGTGCTATGATTGCTGTGCATGATGGCAGATATCCAGCTGGGGAGCCTAGCTCATGGGGTGGGAGTTGGGGCATGAGGCACCAAGCCATAACTCCAATGAGGCACCAGAGCAGCTCAGGTAGATGCTGGCCAATGTTGAATTGAAACAAAATGCAACATTTCCAAATTAACATATAGTGATAGACTCAAGCTCAATCTATTTAGCTTAACAAAGAGAAGATTAAGGTGTGACTTGATTATAGTCTGTATGTATCTAGATGGGGAACAAATATTTAATAGAGGATTTAATTTAATATTTAATAATCTAGTGGAGAAAGGTAAAACATGATCCAATGGCTGGAAGTTGAAGCTAGACAAATTCTGACTGGAAATAAGACATACATTTTTAATGGTGAGAGTAATTAACAACTGAAACAACCATGGGTTGTGGTGGCATCACTGAATTTTTAAATCAAGAGTGGATGTTCTTCTAAAAGATCTGCTTTAGGAATTATTTGGGGACGTTCTATGGCCTGGGTTATACAGCAGGTGAGACTAGATGATCACAGGGGTCCCTTCTGGCCTTGGAATCTATGAACTTTTCATTCCACAAAAAAAAAATAAAATAAAATAAAATAAAATAAAATAAAATTCGATTTTTGATTTTGATTGGGTTAACAATAAATGTCAAAATATCGGCATTTCCTTCAGAATGGAAATTCCAGTCTTCAATGAGCTCTAGCTGTGAGTGCTCAGACCTGCTGAAAAACAGGTCCCTTTTGTACTAAGTCATCTAAGTCTATTCTTTCTGCCAATGCAAGATTGCCCCCTACAGGGTATTTCCAATACTTTGTCCAATCAGTTTTTAAAATGTTTCAAGCCATGGAGCCTACACTTCTCTTGGGAGACTGAGCCACAGATCTCCTCATTAGGAACTGTTTCCAAATACCCAGCCGACATTTTTCTTTTGTTAATTTCATCCAATTACTGCTAATTAAATCTCCTTGCATCACTCTACATGATTCTTCTCTTTTTTGGGCACTTACTTTATTCATAGGACATAGTGAGTCAGATAATAAGAAAAATACACGTACACAATTGCATTGGTATTCCCCATGATTCTCAAAAAGAAAAGGAGGACTTGTGGCACCTTAAAGACTAACAAATTTGTTTGAGCATAAGCTTTCGTGAGCTTCAGCTCACTTCATCGGATGCAGTGAGCTGTAGCTCACGAAAGCTTATGCTCAAATAAATTTGTTAGTCTCTAAGGTGCCACAAGTCCTCCTTTTCTTTTTGCAGCTACAGACTAGCACGGCTGCTACTCTGAACCCCGTGATTCTGTAAATGTGATCACCAGTATTGGCCATGCACTTCTCAAAATCTGTATGTAATAAAGGAGGATGGTGCCAGTAAATGTGCAGTAGTCTTTCCCAGGGCTCATCCGATACATATGCTTGGGAGGACAGGAAATTTCTTTCAGATCTCTTTCATTTTACTACAAGAAATAAATATGCGGCCTTATTAGCCGGGGCGGTGGCCAGATTGGTTTTTTAGGTCGTGTGCTTTCTGCTGTTGTGTGTTGTTGCACTCCTAAACACAAAGCTCAAGAGAGATGCCTCTTTGCCCTAATCGTGCTGACTACAGCATGTTTATCTTTCCCTGATATGCTATCTTCATCAATTTTACCAGCCCCCAGATGATTGCACAAGTTGCTGTCCCCATGCATCATGCTGAAACCTGCTTCTGAACCAGTGCAGAAAGAGGAATTTGTCATAAACTCTTCTGTTCACTTGACAATAACACAGCCTAATATTTCATGAAAATGAAGTGCCCAGAGCACTTCTGATAGTTTACAGGTGTGATAAAGAACAGTCAGATGGATATTGTCAGCCATTAAACAGTTTGCAATAGCAGAGCTCTGAAAAGAAAACAAAGGTCTGTGGACCCTTCTCAGTGTCAGAAGTTGTGTCAGTGATGTAAAGAATGATGCTAAGAGCAATTCCGTACTCAGAAGTGAAGAAGCTCTTTCTCAGAGCTTTCTACCTACATGCAAGACTTCCTTGTAATCTATGTTTGCTTTGAGACATCAATATTGCTTGCTATGCACTGAGGAAGGGTCAAGCATAATTTTTATAAGTTACCAGGGCTGAAATAGTCCATCCTTCTCTCTTTCTTCCTGGGCAATGCACCAGGAATCCAACTCCCAAGAACCCATATAATGTTTCCCTCAATAAATCACAGAAACCCTGCTCCTGTACCTTGTTGGGTCTCTTTATTTGAGATCAGCTCGGTTGCCTTGCAAACTTTGATGCCTCATTACAAATTGCAAAGAAACATGAAGTGAATACAATGAAGACCCATCAGCTCACTGCATTAGGTCAACAAGACAATTTATGCCAAGACGGTTACCTGTGTGGCTGGGGAAGCTGGTGGCATACCCTCAACTTCAGTCTTGACTTTGCTGCGCTTGTGAATTACGGGATTGACTGTGCTGCTCACGGCTGACTCGCTGCTCTGCTTGTTCTAGGAAAGAAAAATTGGGGGTGATGTGGCATTAGGGTTTGAAAGAAAAAAGATGCAATACAGCCTCATAACATCGTCTCCAGTTTATGGCAAACTGGTGAGGAAAAAGAACTGGGCTGGTCATTGGGGCCACCTGTCCAGGACACAGACCAGTGCTGGTTGTCTACACTGGGTGAATTTTACCCATTTGGAGTGTGCACGGAGAAAGACACAGATTGAGAGAGAAGGAGAGAGAGAGAGAGAATAAAGGAAAGAGGGAAGGCCTGAAAAAAGCAGTTGTGCATATTTAGGGATGCCATTCCCAACTCAGCCACTGCTTCAGTTTCAGAACTAACTAGATCCTGTCAAATTTAGCCAACTGTTGATTAACACCCACACTGCCACCCCTCCACCCCAAGAACAAGCCATGGTTTATTTCTCCAAACAAGATGAAATAACATGGTAAGAAACCAAATAGTTTCTATATTCTGGTTTCATGTGGCGTTGTCTTTATACTGTGTGTATACATGAGAGAGAGTGTACACACTTGACTTTGCTCCAGAAAAAAATAAGAGAGGCTACAAGAGAAAAAGCACAAGACACACACACAAACAACAGTCAATTAAATTAGAATATTAAAACTGTAATGACATTGCTATTTATTACTCAAGATCCGTACAGTATTTATGTAAACGGACACCCCACTTCCACCACCTACATTATTTTGGAACTCAGTTTGTTAGGAATGAAATAAAGCAGAAGAAAACAAAACCAGTCAAATAACTCTTCAATAACAAACCAGAGTGTGCAGTCCAGCACCCATGAGATACTCTAGAATAATAAACCAATCTGGACAGTCTACTCCAGAACAATAAAATACAATAACAAACTGAAATGGGTATGTAATGGAGTGAAATAATTCTTTTGGTTGTGACACAATGGTAGTTTAAACTTCCAAGTACTGACAGTAAGAAGCCAAAATTATTAAAAATATGCCATGTGTACTCACTAATATTCAGCTGGTGTGTGTACTCAAGGTTTTCATATGTTTGGTGCCTGTGCATCGATTGTGTATGGCTAATTTTGAAAATTGGGCCCACAAGTTTGTAAAACAGACAATAAAATCAATACAATTTACACCCAAACCAAGAGCCCATTTCACAACTGTCTTCCCAATGTCATTTGAAAAGTCGGGGGGCATGTTAAAAATTCCTCTGGAATGGATTTCTAAAATGAAAAACAGCCCCTTCTTTAGCACAAAAGGGAAACTGGGATCTGACGTGGCCATCAGTCCTAAAATGCTTTGCATTTTGTATCTTAGCAAACATAGTGAGGGAAAGAATATAGTGGTTTTAAAAATATCTGCATGATTTACAACATTAGCAGAGGAGCAGGTCAAACAAAGGAAAAGCAGATTGGTGAATACACTACTTCAATTTGATTCACTGCTTTTAAACTCCAATATAGCAAAGCACTTAAGTTCCTTTGACTTTAATGGAACCTAAGAACTTAAGTGTTTCACTAATAGGGATAGACTTATAAATATGGCTAAGTGCTTTGCTGAATAAAGGCCCTAGAGGGTCATAATATGTTATTTGCAAATATGCACATGGCTGCTTCACAGTCACAAAAATGCTTTGTAGTTACATCTGATGTTTGCTGTTTGCCATTTGTCACTCTCCTGTAGAAAACTTTCATCATCCAATCAGAGAGTAGAAAATATAACATGACCAATCAGATGAATAGCAGTCACCATGAACATTATGGGTGAAATCCTGGCCCTACTGAAATCAGTGGGAGTTTTGCCATCAATGGGGCCAAGTTTCCCCCTAAGTGGTCTACTTGTTGTAACCCGTCTGTGAGTCTTTGCTCCCCGTAGACCACATTTACAGAATTATGAGACTGCTTGATACCCTGGATGGGACACCCACCGCTTGCACTGATGAACTCTGGATACATGAGCAGAATTTAGGAATGGCCTGATAACTTAAACCAAGAAAAATCCTGAATGCATTTAATTTTTGTTCAGATTTTCAGATGCACTGCCCACCCACAACTCCAACTAAAGTCAATGAGAGCTGCAGATGCTCAGAACCTCTGAAAATTAGGCCCTATTTGATCAGCTCTAATGGATATGCTTTTTCAAGTGCAGCTAAATTTCACTGCTTGGCTGTATTAAACACATCACATTACCTGAACTGGCTCCTACCTGATTAGAGTCAGATATGCAGCTGTTGTTATTACTGATCTGAGCAGGAGCTGGGTTGACAGAGATAACTGCCATGTGTTGTCGTGGAGGGAACGTGGGGGAAGGCTGGATCAAAGGAGGCGTATGTCCAAATGCTGAGCTCAAGCCTCTCTGCTGACTCAGGATCTGCTGGTAAGTCACTGGGTTAATGGGATGGGGGAAGCTGAATGCTGGACTGCAATAAATATACAAATAGAGGAGGAAAAATTACAAGGAGAAGTTATTTTAAAAAAAGAATTAAAACCTTGGCTAGTGATTGAAGAAAGGGTAGAACTTCCTGCTGATTATGGGAAAGAGGATAAAGTGGGGAAACTAGATTTTCTTTAATCTTCCATGATATACAGTATGGGATATTTTTTACACAGATATTATTGGTCTCATCTGTACTTTGGTATATTTGTGGACCCCTTCTAGTCACACAGTACTGCTAGAGATTTCTTTTTTTACGGTGTTTGAAAAGAATGGATTACAATGGGGGAAAAACTCACACATCTTGCTTCGCAACAATGCAAGGTTTTTCCAGGTAGACCTTTTTTGCAACTTCCCAAGCTTGTGGCTACACTACTCTTAATACAGAAGTGAAGTCACCTGGCTGTCAGGCACAAATTGCAGAGGGAACATTTAACAATCAATTTTACATATTTAAAAAATATGAAATTTACTCTGCATTCAACTGAGCTGAAAGATGGCTCACGGGACTACTAAAATATGTAACCCTTCTTCTGCAGGTCATTAGTTCAAGCCCAATTTAGATCACTCATAGCCAGAAATCATTCCCATCTAATAGTTATCTGGTTGCCAGTGTGGTTGCAGACTAGGATGTAGTAGACACACCATAAAAACTACCATCAGAACTGCCAACTTTGCTAGTAGTCTTCCAATTCCACTGCTATCAATCTGGCACTTTAGGGGCTGATCCAATGAACATTTATATACATGTAACTTTACTCACAAGCAAAATTACCCACAGGCACAAGTGCTTGCAGGACTGGGCCTTAATTAGCAGTATGTTCATGTTTTTATTTTAAATAATAAACTTGACTAGGCAATTAAGGCTGCTTCTATTCTAAACCAGCTAATGACAACATGACCAAAAAGCAAAGGCCAAAGTCACTACCCTGTTAAAAAGCCCTTGTGGCTAAATAAATGTTAATGGTTAATGACATAATAAGAGCTGATGACAGGTTACTGTAGAACAACTGTTCTATATAACGGAACCATCAGAAAACTCACTTTATAACATATGACCATCCCTCTGTGGTGAGATGTATTAATTTGCGTCACTGCTGCCACTGATGAACTTTTAAGTGGTTAAAAATAAAAAAAGTCAATCTGCACACAATTTATTAGCCGTTAAACTGTTTTCTATGTATGACACACACTTAAAATTCTTAAGATTTAACATATGCCTTGTAAAATACATATTACATGGTTCTAAATTAATTATTATTATTATTGTGGTAATGCCTAGAGGCCACTAGTCAAGGATCAGGACCCCATTGTGCTAAGCAACGTACACAGATATAATGAAAAGATAGTTCCTGGCTCAAACAGTTTACAGTTTAAGTATAAAACAAGAGATTTGAGGTGGATCCAATAGACGGGGAGAACTCATGGGAACAGTGTGATGATAAGTATGATGAGTAGTTAAAATCTTGAGGTTTCCTAAAGCTAGAATTATGTTATAAGTACTTCAAAAATTTTACCTGACAAAGCAACTTTTCTATTAATATCTAACTTTTACTAACAATAAGATCAATCATTGTTTAGGACTGCATTGCTTCTATGAACTCTTGCATTTCTTTCTAGGTGTCTATAATAACATTATTAATAGGAAAAAAACCCCATACCTAACTTCTCAGTGGTAAAAATAATAACACTACAGTGTGAAACCTGCCTTAAGCAACCACTCAAGGATCTGACAAAATTTGTTCCTTTAAGGGAAGTGCTTTTTAATTAAGGATGGAACAGGATTTTACTCAAGAGCCTAGATTTTTAAAAATCAGCATTTAAAGTTAGGCTCCTAAGTCCACACAGGAATTAATTTTTTAAAATCTTGGCCAATACATTTGGGGATACTTTGAGGTAGTTTTCTAAGATGTGAGATTTCCTAACAAGGCCAGTCAAGCCATTCACAGCAAACATTTTAATAGATGAATTTAGCCTTTCTTCTGCTTGCAAAGAGGTATGAACATATTATTATTAATAAAAATCTGGCAACCAGTATTCCCTCCCCGTAAAAATATATACACTCTAAAATACCACCATATCCACCATTGCAGAAGAAACAGGCTAAATGTAGATTACCCTTCCACATGCACGAAATCAAAGAGAGGTTTCATTTTAATATACAACACAGACCCAATGTACATTTTTGGAACAAGATTCCATACAATCCTAGATGGCCAAAGCTTGAAAGGTTCCTTTCGTACAGCTTTCGTTCTGACAATGGACTAATTATATAGGCACAAGATCAAAGAAACGAAAGGCTAAATGGAGCTGCTCGCCCTGCTTTACCTTATTGCCCCGGCAGATAAATGGCCATAGGAGCCACTAGCTGCAGAACTACCTCTGGAGTTATTAATATAAGCCACCAGGGAGTTAGGGGAGGTCCTGATCATTGTCTGAAGATCAATGCTGGCATCAGAAAGCGGGGATATGGAGAGGGCTCGCTTTCTGCTTAATCTTGGAGTAACCCTTGGGCTTGAAAATCTTGACACTGTAGGAAAGAAAAAAAAAGTGTGCCTAGTTAGACAAAAGCAGGCGCTCCTTGTTTCAGTTTTTATAGGAAGAATAAATGAAAGCAGTTAACAGCACAGTACCTTGCTTTGTAACACTTATTTTAACATTGGGAGTGGGATTTGACCTGGGAACACACGGAAGAGTTGCGTCCATGTGCACACACACATACACTCTCTCTCTCTCTGTGACTCACACACACTACAGACAAATTCTTTTTGTTGCCATTACAGTGATTCTTATGGAAGAGAAGAAGCAGGAGTCAGGTGCAATCATTATAATGGGGATTCTTGATTGAGGCTGCTGAACTTTGGTTTTGCCTGATTTTCCAGCTCTCAGGCTGCCTGATTCCACCACACAGGCTCTTCTTGAGACCCCAGATTTAGCACAGAACGTAAGTATGTGATTAACTTTAAGCATGTGAGTAATCACATTGAGGTTGATGGGGTAGCTTGCTGAATCAGGGCCAATAAGCCCTGAGCAAGGATTATCACTTTCTCACTTGCACCACTTCTGCACTGACATAACTTCAGTGGCTTCACCAGTGCAAGGGAGAGAAGTGTCAGGCGACCAGTTTCTTAAAAAAATAGGGCCCAATCATGCACATGCTCTGTGTAAGGGGCTCCTAGGGTCTGACTCAAAGTCCACTTAAATCAATGGGAGTCTTTCCATTGACTTCCATGGACTTTGGATGAGGCCCTTGTTGCATTAGCAATGACTGCAGGATCTGCTGTCTAGTTTGTCTTGCTGTGTTTTTTTACAGCACCTTACCCAGTGGGGACTTGGTCCATAACAGGGTTCCGAGGTGCTATACAATACACAGTACAAAGAAATAACATATCAATAATAGGAATACTTTTATTCATTTTGATTTTCTAAAAAGCGGATGAAATGCTGATTGCCAGAGTTTTCACTAAATGAAGAGTCTGCAGGGTGGGTAACAAGCTGTTCGTTCACTAGAAGAGCCTGGATAAACACGAGGTTCCAAAGGGTCCATTTTTAATTAGTTTTACTTAAAAATAATTAACAGATGTATTTATTCCTCCAATCTTTACTCACAGATAGATACTATAAGGTTGCAGAAGAAACACTGCATTCTTCTTTCCAAACTGAGTGGTTTTCAATGCCTGCTTTAAGGTCCCAGCTGCACACAGCGATAACTATGGAACTACTTATTATTGGCACCTCCAAAATTTTATACGCCCCAAATTTTACATTAGAAGGGACTGCTTGGCTCACAGGGATGATAATGGGACATGATGCCCTGTGCATCTCATCCCTAGTAGAGCTGGCTGGAAAATGGGGAGAGGAGATAATCATGATTTCACCCCTCCATTTTTCAACAACATTTTGAAACTTCTGACCAGCTCTAATCACAAGTTCAGATCCAGATGAGGTGAGCATCAGTTAAAAAAACGTTCCCATATGATGATGGTTTGGGGACCTATGTTAAATGGGATGGAGGCCTGATTCTTAGCAGAGAGGCATCTTTCTTACCAAAAAACACCATCAAATTGGGCAACAGTTGGCACCCTCGTTAGCATTCTCAGAAGAGGGGCTCTATTGAATGAGAAAAGGAGGAGAGATGTAGAGAGCTTCTTGTGTTCACGTGAATACACTTGTAGATACCTGGGTGATGGACAAGGTTTAAGTACCAAGAGTGATAGAAGTACAGCATGGGGATGGAGGCTGTACTGCACTGATCCCTAGATCCTCTCCAAGCTTAGGGGTGAATGTAGGGAAGCTGCTGACCTTGCTTTCAGTCCTTGGAGGACAAAAAAGAGCTTCAGTCTCTGGGGCTGTCAATCAACACCTTGTACCAGCACTAAATTAACTTAAAACAGAAAAAGCCCCTGAAGATTACTCTGAACACGGTGATTTTCAATGACTTAGCAGTAAGAGAACTGGACTGGAATAGCACCGCATCAGAGCAGAAGGAGAATCTTAGAAATTGGGTATGTGCATTTGTCTAGGGGAGGGAAGGAAATGAAATAAGCACTAGCACAGTGCTGAGCATCCAGTTAATGAAAGAGGTGAGACTCCAGGAGCCTAGAAAGTAAATTAAGAGTTTTAAGAAAACCTATTTGACAGCTCAAGTATAAAGTGCAGGCTCTTACCCTCAGAGGGGACCTGCCAGGGCCTGGACCCTATGAACAACTGTCAGTCAATCAGGCATGAAGTCATTTCCACCTTACCTGGTTTTGGTTGTGGGAGTCTGAAATAAATGGAGAGCTTATACTGGACTAATTTGGACTCTCTCAGCACTTAGGTGTGTTAGTGACTGGAACATGTGACTTCGAAGGGCAAATTCGGACTGACACCATCTGCAAATCAATGGGGCTGCACAGGTTGTAGTCAGGGCAGAATTTGGGTCTGAGCTTTGCAAAATATTAGAGGATCAGATCCAACTATTTGACTGAGGCCTATCTACACCTGGAACTGTGGGTCACGCCGAAAGTAGTGGGAGCAGCATATATACTGTGGTAGGTCACCTATTTTTCTAGGTTTTTGTATTTAGAAGATGCCACTGCCATGTAATCCAAAATGACTACCTGCTAGGCTCCTCCTAGCCTGCTAATAGGCCCATGTGACAAACCCAGTCTGCATTCAGCACCTGCATTTCAAGCCCCTTTCCTCAGTAGGTGAGAGTACAATATTACAAATTCTTTCTTTTCCAGCAGCTGTCTCTGCTGAGCCCCTACCTCGCAGGGGTCTTGTGAGGATAAGTACATTAAAGACTGTGAGGCACTCAGGAACTTATATGGCCCCCATTACCATAGCTGTAGTATCTAAGATAGTTAGGCAGATGGTAAGGGCTCTTGTTTTTCCATACCTGCCTCACCTGCTAGGGCATCGATGGGGACCAATTACTATTTATGTAGTGCCAAATGTATGTTAGGCACTTTACACACAAATACGAGGACAAGATCCCAGCCTTGCAGACAACACATAGGTGAGGGGTGGTGAGATGGGATGTAACAAAAAGCGAGGGACAGAGCACAGTAACCAATGTGTCTTGCAGCTTTCATGATGTATGTTAGATCTTAAAAGCTGGTCATTCATTAACCCTTCTTTGAGGGGTGTAGTAGGATTTCACTTCACTTTGATCTAGTGCCCCTAACTGTTTTGTATTGGTGTACTCCTATACACCACACCTCAGGATAAATGAATTTTATGCTCACAACAACCCTCTGTGAGAGGGAAGCTCTACGACTAGCCTCATTTTACAGATGGGGAACTGAAGCACAGATAGATTAAGTGACTTTCCCAAGGTCACACAGGAAGTCTACAGTAGAGGCAGGAATGGAACCCAGGGCTCTTAAGTCTCAAGCCAGAGTTCAATCCATTAGATCACCCTTACTACTAGCTCTCAGCTGTATAAGAAGCATTTGGATTGATTCTGACAACTCCTTTCTGCAGTTCCATTTCACAGCATCTCCCCAATCACAAGGTGGAAGTGTCACTTTATCGTGGCTAATGTTAATGCAACCAAGAGACTCAACAACCCAGTGTTGCCAACTTCTGTGATATTACTTCAAGTTTCACAGTCTTTGGAATTTTGTTTAGAACTTTTGCTCCTGGAAATACATGATTAGGTGAGAATCATGGCTCTCCTTTTCGCTTTTACAAAAGTAAGTGTCTAGCCCTCATGGTTGTAAAGAAAAGCCTAATGTGACCCAAATGCAACCTAAAATCTCAAAAGCCAGAACTGCAAATGTTATTTAAAAAAAATCTCATGAGTGATAAGACTTTGGGGGAGCCTGACTCCTGATTTTTGAATGGCTGGGGTTGGCCACACGGAGGCTTATTCTTGCCAGACTTGGTGCCATCTAAGTGGCAAGCTGGGGATGAACGGGCAGTTTTAAGGATGCAAATGCATTATAGATGCAAACATTTACTGAAAAAGGCAAGTCTGCTAATAGCAATAAAAACACTGCAGGATTTGTGTTAACCCATATGAACAGTAAAGTCTACCATGGTGCTGCTGTTCCTGACCTGAAGTGAAGGTAAAAAATGAACTACACAAGCAGAGATTGGCTAGAAACAAAAAGTCAGAAGCAAAAATTGCCAAACTTTGGATACTGACCTCAAACATTGCAGATGGCCCTTAAAACTTGGGCCTGAACAGACATCCTGCATCCAAACAACTCCTAACTTTAGGAATGTTCCAATCTGGATTCAGATCCGAACCGTGAGGCTGTGGCCTATCTCTAACATAGAATAAACATTTAAATATCTTAAGTTAACATTCTGGGTTTGGAGATAGGCCCCAGCCTCAAGGTTCGGATCTGGATCCAGACTGGAACATTCCTAAAGTTTGGGGTTGTTTAGATCCAAAGTTAGTTACACCCATGTAGAAACTGGAGGCAGCAGTCAAATGGCTGGAGCATTGGACTGAAACTCCTACTTCCAGCTCTGCTACGTGACCTCCGGCAAGTCAGTCAATGCCTCTGTTTCCTCCCACATCATTTGCCTTGTTTGTTTAGACTGTAAGTATTTTGGGGTAAGGGTTGTCTTGTTATGTGTTTGTACAGCACCTAGCACAATCAGGCTCTACTCTGAGCTGGGGCCTCTAGGTGCTACTATACTACATATTATATCTATCTAGATATAGATATTGTTTTCTGCATTTGCATTCCCACAGTCTTCTATTCCTGTAACAGAAGGAAGCAGGCCACATTTGACAGTCATATTTATCTCTGTTACTCCCACACCTCAAGGGAGATCTGTTTATTAATGTGCCACTTCCCTTGATAAATTACTAAATAGAAAGAAAAGCCTTGTACTCATTTCTCGCTGCTCCTTCCAGTGATTTATGTTCACAGAGCCGGTTCAGCCATCGGTCCCCATTAATCTGTAGAGGGAAGAAGTCCTGATGTCCAACAGAAGCTCTGGTTTTATTGGTGCAACCATTCAGTGCACCCTCCACTGCACGTAGGTAAATTCCTCTTCCCCCCCACCCCCGTGTAAAACTCTGCT